CTGCTGCTGCTGCAGCTGCTGCTGCTGCTGCTGCTTCTTCGGGGCCCCCAGGGGCCCCCCGGGGGCCCTCTTTAGATATAAATGCCCGCAGGGCCTCGCGGCCTTGCTGCAGCGTTTCCGCTTCCGGCGCTGCTGCTCCTGCTGCTGCTGCTGCTGCTGCGGGGGGAGCAGCTGCAGCAGCAAACGGTTTGTTCAGGAGGCGCTGCAGCAGTTCAAGGTCCCCAACTGGGCTTGCTGCTGCTGCTGCTGCTGATGGTTTTGCTGCTGCTGCTGCTGCTGCTGCTGGGGAAGCAGCGGCGTCACTGGGGATTGCTGCTCTGGGGGGCGACACAATCACCGCTTCATCGCTGCTGCTGCTGCTGCTGCTGCTGCTGCTGCTGCTGCGCTTTTTATTCTTCTTTTTGGACTTTTGCTTTTTTGTTTTTTTCTTTTTTATTTTCTTCCGATCTTTTCGCTGCAGAGCCGCCGCGTCGGGCGGCAGCTCAACAGCAATTCCCCTTAACATGCTGCTGCTGCTGCTGCTGCTGCTGCTGCTGCTGCTGCTGCATCAGTTGTTGCTGCTGCTGCTGCTGCAGTTGTCGCTGCTATCGCTGTGCCGTTTCCAGTGCCGAAGATGGGGTTGCTGCTGGTGTTCGCGGATTTGCTGCTTCTGCTGCTGCTGCTGCTGTTGCTGTTGTTGCTGCTGTTGCAGCTCCCGTTGCCGCTGCTGTTGCAGCTGCTGTTGCTGCTGCTGCTGTTGCTGCTGCTGCTGTTGCTGCTGCTGCTTGTGTCACTGCTGCAGCTGCTGCTGATACTGTTGGTGGGGCTGCTGAGTACTTGCTGACACTGCTGCTGTTGTAGCAGCTGCTGCTGCTGCAGCTGCTGCTGCTGCTGCTGCTGCTACTTCTGTGGTGTTTCTTCGCGGTCCTGTGGTAGACGATTGACAAGAGTGAAAGCCCGGGGTGATGATCTAGGGTTTAGGGTTTAGGGTTTAGGGTTTAGGCTATAGAGTATGGGTCCTAGGGTTTACGGCTTAGGGTTTAGGGTTTAGCGCTGAGGGTCAGCCGCTTGGGAATTAGGGTTTAGGGACTCGTATGCCAAGAGTAGACAATTAACAATTTGTGCATTAGGGTTTAGGGTTTTTTGCCTAGGGTTTAGGGTTTAGGGTTTGTTTCTTCTAGTGAGCAGCAGCAGCAGCAGCAGTGGGGCCCTCCGGGGGCCCGCTAGGCGCCGCATGCACTAAAAGCAGCAGCAGCAGCAGCACTTGCTGCTTCTGTTTCTGCTGCTGCTGCAGGTTTTGCTGCTTAAATTGTCAACGGGCCGGCTTGAAGGCCTGGCTAGAAGTTTGAACCCTAAACCCTAAACCCTAAACCCTAAACCCTAGGAACGGAGGGCGACGGCGGCGGCTGCAGCTCAAGCGCCTCGCTCGGTGTATTTTGTTTTTCTTTTGTTATTTATTTATTTTGTTTTTTTCTTTGTCCTTTTTATCTGGTTGCAGCTGCTAAAGCCGGCTGCACTGCAGCAGCAGCAGCAGCAGCAGCAGCGGCAGCAGCAGCAGCAACAGCAGCGGCAGCAGCAGCTACAGCAGCTACAGCAGAGACCGCAGCTGCAGCGCGAAAGGAACTACTGGTGGTACACAGCAGAAAGAGCCGCAGCAGAAACCGCAAGAGCAGCAGCAGCAGCAGCACAAGCAGTAGTGGCAGTGGCAGCAGCAGCAGCAGCAGCAGCAGTGGTAGTGGCAGCAGCAGCAGCAGCAGCAGCATCAGCAGTAGCGCCAGTGGCAGCAGCAGCAGCAGTGCCGGCAGCCGCGAGCCCCCCTGGGGGTTGGGGGCCGCAGCTGATGCGCTCTTAATTAGAGTGTTGCTGCAGCTGCAGCAATGACAGCAGCAACCGCAGCAGCAGCAGCAGCAACAGCAGCAGCAGCAGCAGCAGCAGATCCAGCAGGAATGGGCGAGTTGGAGGCATCTCGTTGCGACGGCGGCGCGGGCCCGCCGCCCGCAGGCCACTGCTGCTGCCGGTGCTGCTGCTGCTGCTGCTCGCAGTCGGCAGCAGCAGCAGAGAGCAGCAGCAGCAGCAGCAGCAGCGAGGACATAGCAGCAGCAGAAGGCCCCGAGCTGCTGCCTGCTGCTGCGCGGCTTGCTGCTGGGGGCCTCGCGCTGCGGCGCATGCAAAGCTTCAGCAGAGACCCCGGGCTGCTCGTTGCTGCTGGAGTCTTCGTGCTGCTGCTGTCTGTGGGGACTTTCGTGTTTGCTGCTGCAGTGCTGCTGCAGCAGCAGCTGCTGCCGCTCGTGGGGCTCAGCAGCGCCCCCATCGGCAAAGAAATTTACTTCTCTTGTCTTCCTCTTTGTTCTTTAGTCACTCTCACCTTTTGGGTTTACTGGCAGTGGCTCGCCCTCAAGTACTTCCGACACTCCTAGCTGCTGCTGCTGCTGCTGCTGCTGCTGCTGCTGCTGCTGCTGTTGCTGCTGCTGCTGCTGCTGCTGGTGTGGCGGCGGCTGCGGCGGCGGCAGCAGCGGCGCGCAGCAGCAGCTGCGGCAGCAGTGCGCCTGCGCCTGTTAATATATTATTTATTTTATTTATTTATTTATTTATTTATTTATTTATTTATTTATTTATTTATTTATTTATTTATTTATTTATTGGGTCTCGAAGACTTACTTATTTCTTCACCTCAAAAGGGGCCGAAGAGAAACTCCACAGATTCGCTCTTGTCATCCAAAGGGCTGCTCCCCCCTGGAAATTTTCTAGGGTTTAGGGTTTACGCGGCCTAGGGTTTAGGGTTTACGCGGCCTAGGGTTTAGGGTTTACGCAGTCTAGGGTTTAGGCTTTAGGAGGTCTAGGTTTCAGGTTTTAGCCAGCCTAGGGTTTAGGCTTAGACGGTCTAGGGTTTAGGGTTTATGTGGCCTAGGGTTTAGGGTTTACGCGTCTAGGGTTTAGGGTTTACGCGTCTAAGGTTTAGGGTTTACGCGGTCTAGGGTTTAGGGTTTACGCGGTTTAGGGTTTAGGGTTTACGCTGCTGAGGGTTTAGGGTTTGTCAACGGTTTGCGGTCTGATATGTTCTAAAGTCCTGGAAGTTTGGGTTGCAGCCGACCGTTTTAGGGTTTAGGGTTTTGGCCGCCTAGGGTTTAGGGTTTGTCTAGGGTTTAGGGCCAGCATTTGGAGCAGCTTAGGGTTTAGGGTTTACGCATCTCGGGGCCACAGCATCGGCGATCTACGGCTTAGGGTTTACGTAGTATAGGGCCTAGGGTTTAGGCAGTCTAGGGTTTAGGGTTTAGGCAGTCTAGGGTTTAGGGTTTAGGATGTCTAGGGTTTAGGCGGTCTAGGGTTTGCGTTCAGGAGGGTCAAGGGTTTCGGCGGCCTAGGGTTTGTGCAGCTGAGAGTTTTAGGGTTTAGGCTCCGGGGGCTTAAGGGTTTGGAAGAGCAAAGCGAGGAGCAAAACAAAACCCTCCTGTAACCGACTGCAGCCCCAAGTCTCGAACCCTCTTTAAACCCTTCTTTAGGGTTTACACTTTGCGCCGCGTCCTGCAGATCCCAGACCCTCTACCCGCCCTCCTTGGCCTGCGCCAAACCCTAAACCCTAAACCCTTCACCAAACCCTAGAAGCGAAACTGCCTACAAACAAGTTAAAGCCTTCGAATCCTGCCTAAAAGTTGGAAAAAAAATGAGCTTTGCAGTGTACGTACACCCCAACAGGCCCACCGCACCGGGGTGTACGTACACCTCACGAGGTGTACGTACACCCGGTGAGGTGTATGTACACCCCTGAGGTGTACGTACACCCGGTGAGCTGTGTTTACAAATCGCGAGGTGTCTGTACACCTCCGAGGTGTACTGACACCTCGTGAGCTGCCTGTACACCTCGTGAGCTGTCTGTACACCTCGCGAGGTGTCTGTACACCTCAGCTTCCGGGCGCAGTCGAACACTCTTGGGGTGTACGTACACCCCGCGGGCCGGCTGGCTGTGCGCCAGGCGCTGCGCCTCCTTTTGGGGTGTACGTACACCTCACGGGTGGCGCCACGGGCGCCAACTGTGGGGTCCACTTTCATTTAATTCTTTCTGCTACTTTGTGTTCTGGCCAGCCCCAGGGGTTTAAAGTCCGGCCGAGGGTTTGGGGCCTCTGAGGGTTTCACTTAGGGTTTCCCGCCCTGGCTACCCCGCCCTGGCTAGGGTTTAGGGTTTACCAGGGTTTGCGCCGCCCGGGCGGCCCCGGCTCGGGCCCTAGGGTTTAGGGTTTGCGAGGGTTTAGGGTTTGCGAGCCCTGGGGGCCCCAGGGGCCCCCGGGGCTCGCAAACCCTAAACCCTAAGGGCCCCCGGGGGCCCCAGGGGGCCCCCGGGGGCCCCCGGGGCCCCCCGGGCCTGGGGTTTGGGCTGTGGGGCCCTCAGCGTCTTTCTTCTCTTTTTCTTCGGTTTGTTTCTTCTTGTCTTTCCGACAAAATTGCAACAAGTCTCAAAAAGATGGAAATGAAATTAATGTAAAACTGAACAGCCTGCAGCAAATAGTCCCGGTTGCCCGCGTCGAACTGGGCCACAGCCAGCTGCGTGTCGTAAACCACGAACCTGCGCGCAAACCCCAAACCCTAAACCCTAAACCCTAAACCCTAAACCCTAGGCCCTGCGCCGGGGAGAAGCCCCCGGTGCGGGGTCCGCAGCGGCGCTGCGCCGCGACGAGCTTGACCAGAAGAAATGGACTTCGCCAGGGTTTAGGGTTTGGCGTGTTTCGCAGGCCTTGAGTCTAGGGTTTAGGGTTTAGGGTTTAGGGTTTGCGGACCCCAGGTACATGAAAAGTCCCCCCCACAGCAGCACGTCGTTCAGCAGCTGCAGCCGCAAGAAAATATTCGCCAGAGAGGCCAAAGACAAGTAAGTGATGGCAGACCCCAAAATGGAGCCTAGGTACAAGTAGGACCTGCAGCACACCAAACCCTAAACCCTAAACCCTAAACCCTAAACCCCAAACCCTAGGCAAGCCTCGGCCCCGCCCCCGCGCGCTTCTTCCCAACTGCGGCCGCAGGGCGAGGCGCAGCAGCGCCCCGCGGCCACGCCCCAAACCCCGAACCCCAAACCCTAAACCCTAAACCCTAAACCCTAAACCCTAAACCCTCACCGCTGCTTGGCGACAAGCGCAGCAGCAGACAAGCAGCAGAAGATGGCCACGGAAGCCAGAAAGGCCGCAGGCACCACTTGGGGCCCCACATAAAAATGAACTGCTGCTAAATAGCTGCCAGCTAGCATGCCATTAAGAAAGCCAAAACCCCCGAAGTACAGCGCCCGCTCCCCAGTCAGCATCTGCGCACAAAACAATTAATTAATTAATTAATTAATTAATTAATTAATTAATTAATTTAATTAATTAATTAAATTAATTAATTAATTAATTTGTTTATTTGTTTGCTTATTTGGGGCACTGGACAGAAACGGAGAGCCAGCAGCCGGGGAGCCGTGAGCCACAAAACGCTGAAACCACCAAACCCTAAACCCTAAACCCTAAACCCTCGGCAGCAGCAGCGGAAGCAGCACAAGCAGCAGCAGAAGCTGCAGCACGAACTGCAGCAGGAGCTGCAGCAGCAGCTGCAAATTCCACCAGAGAGCAGCAGACACAACAAAGAAACGCCGAAAAGCAGCAAACCGCAGCAGCAGCAGCAGCAAACCGCAGCAGCAGCAGCAGCAGCAGCAGCAAACCGCAGCAGCAGCAGCAGCAGCAGCAAACCTTGGACTCCGCGTGGGCCTTCTGGGAGGAGAAGCTGAGGGCGAGGACGCAGGCGAGGGAAAGGAGAAGCGCGAGGAAGTTGGGGAGGGCGAAGAAGTTGAGGTGTACGTACACCCCGAGGGCCGTGGCCAACACGTTGGAAGTCAAGGCCGCGTAAATCTTCGCCAAATGTTTTTTTTGCAAATTCGAAAGTGGAGAGAAGTCCAGCAGCGAGCGCGCGGGCACTGCCGCAGCCCCCAACACCCCAAACGCCTCCATCTTGCTGCGCGCCGGGCTGCAGCAGCAGCAGCAGCAGCAGCAGCAGCAGCAGCAGCAGCAGCAGCAGCAGCAGCGCAGCAGCAGATTTCGGAAAGATGGAGAATTGCTCAACGGGAACTATTCAACTGGTCGGAGACACTTTAGCGGCAAAACTGCGCTTTCACGAGACTGCTGTCCATACACTGCAAACAGCCAGCAGCAGCAGCAACACGGGAGCAGCAGCAGCAGCAACACGGGAGCAGAAGCAGCAGCAGCACCACGGGAGCAGCAGCAGCAGCACCACGGGAGCAGCAGCAGCAGCACCACGGGAGCAGCAGGAACACCACGGGAGCAGCAGCAGCACCACGGGAGCAGCAGCAGCAGTTCGCGCCAGGAAACGCAAAGAAAAAGCCAAAAGGAAGCAAAAAGCTGCGCGCATGCGCCGCTGCTGCAGCAGCAAAGCCAGCAGGCAGCAAGCGCCGCTGTCTCGCGCTCTGCTGCGCTCTCAGCCGAATTTGGCGGTCAAAAAGTAAAAACAATTTCGAGAAACGCCGAGACGGAGGCAGCAGCAAAGCAATTCGCGAAGAAACGAACTGAACGCGGAATGCAAACTGCGCACGAGCAAGGAAGGCTTCCAGCGCCTCCGCGCCTCGCCACCAAGACTAAAAGGGAAAATAAACAAGAAAATATAATTAAAGTGAGAAGTGACGCGAAATAGTCCGGCAAAATGCACAGAATTGCGAGTGTGAGGAACTGCGAAAGAAGCGGCAGCTTCAGGTGTATAGACAGCTCCGAACGCGTACCGATGCACTTGCAGAAAAGAAAATCTTGGGCGTGTTTAAGCCGTCCAGTTGCATTACTTTTCGAAACTTTCAATTTAATTCGATTGGCCTTGCTGAAGCAGCACACCCGAAGCGGATCTTCTGCGAGCCGCAGCAGCAGCAGCAGCAGTGCACTGAACGGCTGTTGGCTGCGGCTGCTGCTGCTGCATAGTTTTCGTGTACCTCGTTTCTTCTAATCCTTCTTTCTTTAAACATTAAAAACGCGAAAACCCTCGCTGAAAAAAGGCTTTTATTCCTGCGGATCTCTTCCCACGCTCACCATCACATGCAGCACCAGCGAAAGGCTTTCCAAATATTAAAAAGCTATTCTTCTAAAAGGACAGCGCTGCTAATTAGAGGCCCCTTCGCTGCTGCTGCAGCTTGCAGACGAAGCCCTTCTTGCTTCTTTGCCGTGCTGCTGCGCCTTCCCCATTCGCATCTGGGGTGTACGTACACCTGGAGTACACTCTCCAGTCTGTCCTCGACAGCCCTTTCGCGCCGCCTAAGGGCCTTGTCAAAAGTTTCTGAAATAACTTCTGCTGCTGGGCTGCTGCATGCCTAGCAGCAGCGCAGTGCATTGTCTGTACACAGTCTAGGCTAGCTCTCTTGTGTGCGCGCACCTCTGCAGCACGCGTGCAGGTAGGGAAGCTGCAGCAGCAACGCAGGTGCTGCTGCAGCAGCAACACAGGTGCCGCTGTAGCAGCAACGCAGGTGCTGCTGCAGCAGCAACACAGGTGCCGCTGCAGCAGCAACACAGATGCTGCTGCAGCAGCAACACGGGTGTTGCGGCTTAGCTTTCTGTGCTGCAGCCGCTTCCGCGTTGCTGCTGCAGCAGACAAAGCTAACGGGTTTGCTGCCGCTGCGTGTAGCCCCCTAGTGCAGCGCAGCACAGCTTACAAAGCTTGGGCCACGCCAGCAAACAGGCAGCAGCTACAAAGAGGAATTTAAAGGAATTACCGATTTGAATTTAGCTGCTGCCTTCACGATTCTACACATTGACTCAAATGTGGCCCACTGGCCGTGTCCCCTGCAGCCGGGCTGGGGCAGCAATCGCTGCTGCTGCTGCTGCTGCTGCTGATTCTGCTGTTGCTGCTGTTCTCACTCCTCGTCCTCTTTCTACTGCTCTTTCTTGTGCCCCTTCCGCTGCTGCTTCTGCTGCCTTGCTGCTGCCTTGCTGCCCTGCGGTGGCATTTCTGCTGCAGGCTTGTTGCTGCCTTGCTGCTGACGCGTTGCTGCTGCTGCTACTTCGCTGCTTCTGCCTTGCTGCTGCGTTTTCCCCTTATCGTGGCCTCCAGGTACAGCAGCAAGCATTTAAAAGATATATTTTTTAGTTTTTGCTGGTGTTCTTTGGTGCTGGAAAAGTGTGTAACAAGTCTGGCGAGTAAATGTAAATCCAAATATGAATATGGATCTGAATCAAAGTCTACATATTTTTAATGTCCACAACATGCATATATTAGTAATCCGTGTATATTATGCATTCACACTAGTATAAGTGCAAACAAATTAATGAAAAATGCAAATTTTTCTGCCCACTAGCAGCATACATCTAAACGCAGAGGATGGGCATTAAGGCCCTCTATATACGAATAAAATGAGATGACTAATTTTGTTTGTAATATGCTTTATAAGCGAGTGCATTAAGCTTTATATGTAGAAAGTTCTAGCAGGCAGCAAATTCCGCCTCGGCGGAGCTCAAAGGAACTCAACTTCAAAAGGACTCCTCTGGAGTGCCACTTTTGCTGTAGCAGCAGCAACAGCTGCTGCTGCTGCTGACTGGGCTAAGGCGGCCGCTGACTCTGCTGCAGTTGCTGCTGTTGCTGACACAGCTGCTGTTGCTGCTGCTGTTGGGTGTACTGCTGCCGCTGCTGGCTCCGGAGTTTGCACAGCGCGAGCATGCAGTGAGTGGGGCTTTGGGGCTTTCCTGTTGAGGCCGTGTGCCAGATTCCCGTCTCGACACAGCGTCTACTTCCCTTCCTGATCCCGCTTCTGCTGCTCTTCAGCGCCGCAGCAGCAGCAGCAGCCGCAGCTGCCGCCAGTTGATGAGCCTTCCCTTGCCAGCGGCTGCGCGGGCCCTTAAGCCGGGGCCCACAAAAGGAGGCCGCAAAAAGAGGGCCTTTCACAGAACCTATGAGCTCCAGCACCTGGGAGAAGACTCTTAATTTAAAAAACAAATACCTCTGGGGGCACGGTGAGGCCTCCTGCTGCCTTCTAGGGGCCCCCTAGGGAATTCTTGGGGGACTCCCAGGGGCCCTAGAGCCCCTAGGAGGCCGGCACCCTAGGGCCCCCTGCAGGCATCCTGGAGACCCCCTGGCGGCCTCGTGGGGTCCTCCTGGGGCCCTCCTGGGGGCGTCTTAGCGGACTCCTGGGGGTCCCTTGGGGGACACCTGGGATTCGTTGGGATCCTCCTCAGGGCCCCCTGGGGGTTTCCTGGGGGCCTCCTGGGGGCTTCATGGGGCCCCCTGGCAGTCCCGGGGCCCGTTGTGACTGCGGCGCCGGATCTGCATGCAACAGAGCTGGCGCTTTTCTGCCAGAGTGGGGCCTAGGGGCGCTTAAGGGAGAACAGCCCAGAGCTCGCGGGGGCTTAAAAAATTCTTCTGAAGGTCTTAAAGAGAAGTATCCGCTGCAGGTAAAGACGCCTGCAGGGCCCTTGCTGTGCGCTGAGGCGCAGCTGGGCTGCCGGTAAGGTTGCTGCACGTGCTACAGCAGCTGCAGCAGCTGCACCAGCTGCAGCATCGCTCCCGGGGTCGTCGGGTTGCAGCAGCAGTACTGCGCCATGGGTCCCAGGAAGCAGCAGCAAAGGTTGGTCTTGCTGTGTTGCTGATTTATGGCTTTCTTTGATACTAATCAAGGTAAACAGCTCTAGGGTCGTTGGGGCTGAGCACCACTAAAGAAAACAATATTTTCCTGCAGCAAGGACCCCCAAGACTGGAGACACTTGATGGCTAGGCCGCCGAGGGCGTGGGGAGGCTAGAGGGCCATTTAGCTGCCTGTGGGGCCAGTGGGGAACAAATAGGTGGCAAAAAAGAGACCCACAGGCCGCAAAAGAGGAAGCAAATGATGACACAAACAAATAAAGAAAACAAATGCAGAGAGGGGGGAGAGCTAGAGAGGAACTAAGGGTGAAAATGACAGACAAATGGAGAGATATGGCAGAAGAGTGACAAACTCAACAAGCAGCCTGCCGCACCGGTACACGTGGCGCTGCGGTAGTGCTGCTGCAGCGTTGCTGCAGTGCGGCTGCAGCGCTGCTGCAGCGCTGCAGCCTAACCTGCCTCCCGGGTGCAAGAGGGTGCTGGAAGTTGCTTCTTGGGAGCCCAAGAGGCCCTCACAGAGGCCTTTAAGGGGTCAGTTTCGCTTTGGGTTTTGCTGCTGAGTCTTGAGCTCCAGACATGCTTAAGGCTTGTTGCTGGACATTCAGCTTGCCTAAAAGCCATTTGGCGCCTCTTTGCATGTGTTTTTTCACTTTGCTTGTGTCTTTCCCCCCAGAAAAATGCCCTCGTGTTCCCGCTTTTTGGCGATTAAGCCACCGCAAATAAAGCAGACTGATTTGTATGCAAGCGTGCTTTCAAATAAAAGAAGCATGTGCTTCAATGGGGAGAAGAGCACGCATTTCGCAGTGGTTTTAACCCCTGTTACTTCTAGTCCCCTCCCAGCCAGAAGTTCTAACCAGTTCTCAAGACACTCACAAAGTCCTCAAGGCACTTGCAAAAGATGAGTTCTGCTGGCTTCAAATTTACTGGCAGCAAAGCGCCTGAAGGATTCCAGCCAGGCCAGTGGCTGAAGGGGGTCGGCTCGGCTGCAGTAGCAGCAGCAAACAGGAGTTTTCTGTGGTTCCTCTCCGGGCTCTGGGCCTTTAGCCAAAGCTCCCTTCATAGTATATGCCAATATATCAGTTTTCGCCTCACTCTGCATTATTTACAACATATATATCGTCGCTCTTGCCTCTGAGAATGCATGATATGGTCAATGTTTGTTTCAACTTTCACCTTATTCAAAAATAGGCGTTTGTTGTTGCCTACCATTATAAACTCTGTGGTTGGCGCTATACGTGTGTTTCAAACAGCCTGCTGTTTGCTGCTGCTTCCTCGATCCCTTTCCATTGCTTCTCGTTGCCTCCTGAGCGCATGCACGCGCTTCTGTTCACTTTTTGCAGCGGCAACACCAGCAGCAGCAACGTGTTGCTGCCGCTGATGAGACGCTCTGTGCCGACCCTGGCGGGGGAGCCCTACCTAGGCAGCACTTCTAGGGGCGCTGCAGATCTCCCTGGAGCCATAAAAGTAGACATTTTGGCCTCTCAACGCCTTCGTTTGTGCTTTATATGAGTACTTTACTCAGTTGTCAGGTGCAAACACTGCAGACTGCACGCGAGCGGCGGTGACCCCTCATAGCATCAAAGTTACCAGAAAAGGCTGTTTGCCTTCGCGAAAGAAGGCTTAAGCTTTGCCTGGCTGCCTACTTTTCTAAGGTGCCGCATGCGCATACGTTGTGCTGTAAACCTGCGCTCTAGCAGACTTCTCGGCAGTTGGCGCGCCTCTGGTGATAAGGGAAGTGTGAATTGAACGAAATTGTGCTGATCCGCATGCGGCTGCCTATTTCAAAGAATATTTTTCGAATATTCATGGTTTGTGCCTCAAGATCCAGTATGTAACACTTCAACAGTGCACGCTGATGCCCTGTGTTCCGGAAAGGAGGCGTCTGAAGAGGGTATTAAGAGCCACTCCTTTGCCGTTTTGCGGATAAAAGAGGGGTCTCGCGTTATTCTAACATATTATACCGTTTATTCTATTTTAACATATTATGTCGTCAATGCGATTTGCCTGCACAGCGCATGTGCTTGTTGTTCGTCCGCTTAATAGGAAGTCAGTTAGAGCGTAGGCAATTCAGTGGAGCCGGCGTAGAGAGCGGGCGAAATGGAACAGTCTTTACGTTTCCCCCTTGCCAATCTTATATGGCTATTCGTAAAAAAAGAAGGTAAAACATTCAACTTTCTGACAACAGAAATTAAGAATAACCTCCGAATGCCCGAGCAGTGAACTTTGCTGTAAGCCCAGCGGCCCCTGGCTTCGTGCAAGTCCACAACAGGCGATGCATGGCCCATCCCCTTATGAGGAAAGCAGCCCATACGTTTCTACATACACAGGCCTAACAATAGTCATCTCTGATACTAGCTGAAACGCCTGCAGCTCTTGGTCTTGGCAGACGAACGCCTTCTTTCATTGTTTCCCCTCGCAGCCTCACTGCAACTTGACTCTTCCTGTTTCAGCAGAAACTTATTTGATCCCCAGCTCTAAGGCCCAGGCTATCCAAAACAGATGATGTGCAGCAGAGTGCAGTACCCATGCTTCGTCAAAGGTCTTAATCACTTCCTCTCTAGGCGGAGTCCATCGCGAACGTGAAATACGGCCCGGCCTATTGAAACAGGCGCTCCTTTGGATCGCATGGCTGTTCGTTGTGTAAATTCTTGCTTTATTTCTCTTTTAAAAAGGAAAAGTATGGCAAACATTAGTTAATTTGCCGCAAGGGGCAAAAGTACGTTGAATGATGACCAGAAAGTGTTCAGTGCTTGCAGAGTGCTGCGCTCGTCTCGCACCAAGAAAGCCGAAAGGGCGTTGACTGGCGGCAATAGTAAAGTTACTGGATATTAACAAATTCATTAGTTATATTGTGAAGCAGATGAGGCTTCTATGTAGCTTCCAGACAGAGCGGAAGCCTTCGTTTCCTCCTGCATGCGATCGGGATCTTGCATCACTGCCACCGACTCGGGGCACAGCTCAACTGCTGCGGCTTCTTTCGGTCCTTCTGTGATTTCTGAAGCTTGCTTCTATTGATATTCTCTTCAAACTTCGTCTTTTGTGCTCATTCATTCGATAGAAACGCTGATGCGAAACAGTATTGCAGACAAGCGGGCGCCTCCCTTCCCCTGCAGCCACTGCCTGCGCCGATTGGCGAAAGGAGCCACATCTTATTGAAGAGCCGCAGCACACCCTGCTGTGCTCCTCTCTATACAAATTTCAGGGGACAATAGGCTTCTTTACACACCCAACTGCTAGCATGTTTGAGTTTCTGAGCAGACTGGTGGGTCTGCTGCTGCTGCTGCAGCTGCTGCAACTGACAGTCCACAGAGGATGTAGTTCTCAGTGATGGCTTTGCGCTTGTCTCACTTACTTCTGCCTCTTTCCACCCGAGGCGACTGAGCTCCGATGCCTCCACAGTGGCTCCAGCACACACCATTCCTGCAGCGGCAAGCGGCTGGCTTTATTGCATGGACGCAGACAGCAAAGCCAGCGCAGCAGCTTAATTTTGCAGCAGATATGACCCTCAAGGCCCCAAAATGTGTGCATTTCTCTCTCGCAGTGCTCCAAGCACAAGAACGCTCCCCTAGAGACGGAGCTGCGCCGGCAGCGGAAGGCCCTCAAGGCGATTGACAAGTTTGTCCACAGCCTTCAGAAGAGTTTAAAATGTACGCCTCCGAGGTCCACTGGTCACGTTCTGGTCACTTAAGCAGTCAAATTCGTCCTCTGGCGCTGTCCGTTTCGTAATCCGTGCAACGGGATCCACTGTGTTCCGTCGCCGCTGATGTTTCCGTGCAGATTGGGAAAGAAGTGGCAAGTCTTTGCGAGTTAGCATCAACGGATACTTTTACGACAAGCCCGTTTACAAGCGTCCAGTGGAGGAGATCGGCGCAGCCCTGGTGAGGCACTTTGCACGGAAAAACGCGCATTCCGCAGTAGTGCGAATTCATATTTGGGTGTTTGAGCTCGTCCATTTCCACTTAGATATTCCTAACTCAGCAGTAGAAGGAACTATGCAAATGCGAAACGCAAACACTAGCATTCACAGAGAATATGCCAACAAGATGCGGCGGGAACGCTAGTGGAACACGTGCAGTCTATGAAGTGGAAGTTCTTGAAAGACTAGCTTTCCTGTCGCATATAAAGAAAGTTGTTACGGAACACGTGCAGTCTATGAAATGGAAGTTCTTGGAGGACTAGCGTTCCTGTCGCATCTTGTTGGCATATTCTCTGTGAATGGTAGTGTTTGTGTTTCGCATTTGCATAGTTCCATCGAGTTCTGTGGCAAAATAATTGCGAATTGATTCATTTTCCTTTTAATTTCGTCTTTTTTGATCTGTGCAGGACTCGTTCAAGACAATATCCTCCTCGGTGGTGAGTCCACTTCCCAGCGCGTGGTTGTACTTTTGGGGTTTTCCTGCAAATTCTTCTCACTTTGCCCTTAGTTTTACAGATTAGATGTTTATATTTTGGGCGAATCGGAGCTTGCGAGGCTTGTGTTCGGGTGATGTACAGAAACCACAAGTGGATCTTATCAAGGAGGCGAATGTAGCCGCGGCGAAGTCAATCGCGAAGGTTGAAGTAAGGGTTCCCACATGCAATTAAACTTAGCTTTTGTGGCTCCGTTGGGCTGCATGACTTGCAAGCTGTTCCGAGTGGAAATAAAGGCGTGAACCAGCTTAAAGTTCTTTGAAAGACCAACCACTGCTCGGTCAGGTGCTAGCAGCAGAGTAGGCTTGCGCTCTAGCCACCTTATTTTCGGAGCCTCCACTGCGCGGCATTCACATAAGGCGCTTATTGCACTGTGCCTTCTTTTTCTGGTTGTCGCGTTACAGAAGGCCAGCAAACGAAAGAAGGATGCGGAGAAGAAGTTACTGCGGAAGGAGGCGGTGAGCAGGAGGGCCTCCCTAGTGCATTCAGGTCCACGAATAGAGCGACGCATTTAGCTTTGCATCAACAGAACTATGCGGAAAAAAGTAAAGAATCCAGCATCTTGGGAACAAAGCCATCACAGTAAATGGACGGGGATTATAGGCTCCGGCGCTCACACAGTGCTTTCAAATGTGCCGTTGACATCCCAAGCCGTTCTCCGCAGCGTAACGCCAAAGTGTGAATATCTGTATTTATTTGTGTAGCTGGCTGTGAAGGTTGGCTTGGTTTGCAGGCGCTGAAGAAGCTGCAGCAGAAAGCGGAAACTGGCAAAGACCCGCAAGCTGTGCAGAAAGTCAAGACGGTTCGTCGGTGACGAACTGAGCCTTGCCCTTGTGAATGCGTATTTGAGTTTGTGAATGTACATTGGAGTTTAAAGTGCCACGCACAGTCGGTCTAGACCATAAAAGTCCTTAGAAGGAAGAAACAAGACAAGAATAACAGCTGCTCGCGCCACCTGTTGCCGCCTCTGCGAGCAGGCGGAAGATGAGGTTCAAATTGCACGGAATCGCCTGCAAACGGCAGAAGCCGAGCTTGTGTAGGCGCCCACCCAATTCTGTTTGCCCAGAGGAGCGATTTGGGCGTGGCCTGCTTGATGATCTTTACTCTTACTAGGGCTTCTGCAGTTCTGACTGTCCCATTATAGAAGAAACACTTATTGGATGAAGTCAGGCTCTTTTGCATGCATGCTTTTCTTGTGAACGCAGGAGAGAAATGCAACAGACGATGAACGGAAGTGCGCCAGAGGCCGCAATGCAAGTTGCACGGGTAGGCCATTGCGCGCCAAGAGTTCAGGATCTTGACCTGAACAGGGCTTATGCTGCATGTCCTCTTTGCTGCCCTTTGCTGCTGCTGCTACTGGTGCTGCTGCTGCAGTTTTCGTCCATAGAGCTCACTTAGCAAGATATTAGGAGCTGCTCAGCGCTTATGCCTCCGTCCCTTCACTAGCTACTATTAACATCGTTTTCTTTGCTGGTTTCGCGGTCCAGAAAGCATTAGCTTGATCTGTAATATTGATGAACTTCTTAATTTCCAGTGCAGGTTATTTTGTGTCCAATACAAAGGCTGTTTTTGTTTTACCAAGTAATTTCAAGTGCATGGTATTGTGTGTCCAGTGCAGAGGTTGCTGCTGTTTGTCTTGTGGCGCCGTTTGTACAGGCTCTGGAAGCCATGATTCTCTTCTTGGTAGGATCGGGCGTTGATGTGGGGTCTGTGCGGGCTTCAATTCGTTTGCTGGAAGAGACACAGTATGTGTCGCCGTTGACGGCGGCTGGCCATCAGCAGCAGCTGCTGCAGCAGCAGCCGTACACGAGCAGCAAGGCGGACATGCAGCAGATGCAGCAGTTCCCCAACAGCCCGCGCAGTACCAGCCCCGCAGAGCCCGTGAAGAGGACAAATTCCCAGTCTTCCCGCCCCCACAGCCCCTCTGACCCTGGCTCTCAGCAGGTAACACCAAGGAAACCCTACCACTCCGGCGACAGCCAGCGCCTGCAGCAAACAGCCTCCAACGGAAACCTTAAAGACTCAGCCAGGCCCCTTGCCTCTCCCACGAATCCATTCGCGTCAGACTAACACACAGCAGATGGCGCTTGGGGCGTTAATGCAAAGCAATGGCGGGGTCCAGAGCCTAGAGGGAATCGTAGGAAGGCTCCTCTTTGCCCGCAGGTGACGTAGGGCCCCATATGTGTGAACGTATGTGTATATTATATGTGTACGTGTACTTGTATATATATAGAGACGGATATTGAGAGCGGATGGGGTTAAGCAGTAATGGTGAGGGGGTTAAGTGCGCTCCAAAAGGACGATCCGCTACAGTAGCAGGTAATAAGAAAATGATGAGACCGCCATCTTCTCTGCTGTTACAGTATTACAATTAAAGCGGTGGCGAGTTAGGGTGACGATGCAGGGAAATGAAGTCGGCGGTGCCGACTCTGCCCTCTTCGGCTATTAATAACTTCCGAACAATTCCTTCAGTTGGAACCGTTTATGCAGTGAAACTTGCAGCAGCAGGCACGCCTGTCGTTGCCGCTGCTGCGTCTGCAGCGGGGCCCCAAAGAGTTCTGCAGACTCTGCCTCTCGCCGCACTGGCCATATAGGGGGCCCTGTGTGCCCCCTGGCCGCGCAGCTTTCTTGCGGCGGTTTGCATGCGGGCTAGGGCCCGCCCAAACAGCAAGTGTATTTCAGGGCCTGTTGCGCTGCACTGGACACTGTTAAAGTCTGTAACAAAGACCCGCTGGCATCCCTGCTTATCGACGTGGAAGAAGAAAGGCACAAACTGCAACACGAGCTGCAACGCCCGTGGGCAACTCGCGGACTGGTGATGAGAATGCCGCCACTTCTGTAACGAAAGCGAGCTGATCCCGCAGTCAGCTGGTGTACACCAACTCTAACTCGAAAAGTAATGGACTTGCAGCGGCGAAAGGCCCGCCAAATGCATCAACCAACTGCCTGGTGAATATGTGGGCTTTCCTCGCCATTCGTTAGCCGGGGCCTACGCGCGGTTGGTCGAAGTCTGATAAGGCGAAACGGAAGGAAAACAGATGAAATAAAACACAAAATGATGTAACGGTAGAATAGGATGCAGCAGCACTTACTTAAAGCTGCTTCTGCAGCTCGACGTGACCAAGCAACAAATACAGGAAGCCCGAGTTCGCAGCCACAGCAACGATGCATGTATACAAATGACAAGTGACCCCGAGCAATAAATGGTATTGCGTTGCTTAGACAACATAGATACATATTGCAGAAGTGCAGATATTTCACAAGTCAGCTCACGTTCTGAAAGCGAAGCCAAGTGCTTGTTGAACTTCTCCATCCGCTGCCGATGTGTCAGCTCCAGCTGCTTCTTGATTCTCTCTGCCTCTCGCGCCTTCCGCGCCAAATAGAAAGCCCTTTCCGCCGGAGTCCAGCGCGGGTTCATCTCGGCTATAAAGGCCTCCAAGTCATCCGCTGCAGCAGCACCAATGCAGCAGCAGCGGCAGCACCATGTGCACATGAGTCTAAACGAATAAAACTTGATGGGGCTAGACATGGGAAATCAGAGAGACGGGGGATTCACTTCACTTTGCGCAAATGGATATAGTGAATTGCAAATGATCTGTGACACGCAGATCAGACGCAAAGACATCCAGAGAGCCAAATGCACAAGCACGGCGGACAATCCCGCAATATCTGCGCATTCTATGAATGCAGAAGAGTCTAAGTGGCTTAAAGAAAAAGGCAAGGAAGCAGCAGCACGAAGTTAATCGGGCCAGAATGACGCAGGGATGCCGCACCCGCGTCTGAGGGTCTGGATGGATCTCTGCTGCGACTGCGGCTGTCTGTCCTTGTTTTCAATCCTTCTTCTCCCTCGTCTTGTGCAGAAGTTTGTGCAGCTGCGGATGCGTCTTCAGGGGGAGCAGCAGCTTCTGATCCGGCGTCTGCTGCTCCTGCTGCTGCACTGTCTTTGGCACTCAGGAGTGCGTCTGCAGGCTTCTTGCCCTCCTGGATGGCTGCTGCTGCAGCAACAGCTTCGGGGTCATTTGCGAGCTCTGGGGGCAGATCAGCTACTGCTGGTCCTGTTTCCTCTTCATTGTTCGCCTTATTTTTCTTCTTTTTCCGGCGTTTCTTCTCGTCAGCCGCCACGGCTTCGCTGTGCCGCTTCAGCCTCAGAGTCCCGCGAACTGCTGTTTCATAGCCCGACATTTGCGCGTTTGGTAAAAGAAGAAAACAACAATGGGAACAACAAAATGACAAACAGATGCCGGCCTAGTCGCAAGAAGACGCCGGTCTGCAGTAGTTCTCTGCTGTGGTAGTTTCAATTCGTTAATTCTTTTTCTTATTATTTACTCAGTCGATATTTCCGGCCATTAGTTGCTCTCCGCGCTTTCTCCATAGCCCAGAAGGAATATCAACATCAGCACCAGGACCCCTGCGATGACAGACCACACCCTGCCCACTTTCCTCTGTCCGAAGTAATTCAAAATGAGGAATATTCTCTAAATTCGAATTTGCATCCCAGAAGTGTGCTACGCATTCACAAACTAGAACGAAAAACTACACAGCGTCGTGACGAGGCCTCAGCCAGTGGCCATCACGCATGTTTAGCTCACCTACTACGTTTGTCGCCAAATAAACCTCGTACTCCATTTTAATTTTTAGGTTGATACAACAATATGAGCTAAAATTACGAGCTGCGAAGGGAGAACGGCAGCGAGAGGAACTGAAACGAAGATAGGAGGTTACACCTTCTCAGCCATTTCCACCAGCCTGCATCATGGGTTCTTTCTTTTACATTGCATTTATTGTTGATAGCCTTATTATGCTGTTCAATCTCTCTAGGCGAACAGTTCTTGCAATTGGGGCTGCAGAATGCATGCAGCCCGCTCACACAGTGTCTCCAGCGTTTGACCAGATCCTTTGGAGGATTCCGTTTTCGCTACAAGCAACCCTCAAAAACTAATGAAGTACAATATTGAGCTTCACATTCACTTCATTGTTGCTCGACCACGAAATTTGCCATTTTCTGCGTTTATGCACTCCTATGTTACACGCTAGTTGTGTTCGGTGGATTTTGCTCTAGCTGGAACTTCCTAATTAAGACTCACAGTAAATGCCTGTTCTTTGCTTCGGGTTTTGATAGCGTCTTGTAAGATGCGAGACATTACAGCTTTTCGTTCTGTGCACTGCCTGTACCGTAGTAAGTATTCCGGCCAGCTGCCAAGAATTTGCACAATTTTAGTAGAGATTACGATAGATTCCTTGGCTTTACATTGTCACGCTGCTGATGACTGAGCGTGATCACGGTTTAGGCTTCCTCAAAGGCGTCCTCGCAAATCGAAGCGGGCTTTTGTATCGCTGGAGATCCTGCCGTCTGCTTTCAATTTGACACTTACATGTTATCTTTCTGAGGAATGACTATCTCTGAAGAGTGACTATGCCACATCTTAGTGGTTCCACCTTTCTAGCACTCGCTTGAGGTCCAAACCTCTCGCTTTTGTGCTCTCGCCTTACTGCCTCCTAGCCTCGCGACACTCTGCTGCCTCTCTTTCCTACTTTCTCTCATTTAGGTCACTCAATATGACCCAAATGGCTGAGAGATAGAACAACAAGAGACTTGTGGGGCCCCAAATGCAACGGAGACAGAGCCAACCCTCTTGCCGATAGACTGAAAAACAGACGAAAAGCCCTTCATATCATGTTGTTTCTTTCCAAAGTCAAACGAAAGACACGTGAGGGACGAGTGGCACAGATCGAACGACGCGCGTGCAGCCCGCACAAACTGAACGACCTACTGCCGCACAGCCGCACTCACTTATTCATTTGGCTTCTTCCAAACATGATACTGTGTGGAGGAGGCTACAATGACCGCCGCAGCTTCCATACGCATGCGCAAATCTGCACATATATATGGTTCAGCCGCCCAAATCATCTTCCTCAACAGACTCACCACCCCAATGTCAACGGCCGCTTGCTCCACACTTAGTCTGCAATGCTGTCCCATCAGCAACACCTGCTTCTCGGTGCTCCCCGCACCTTGCACGAAGCACACAGCGCAGCCGAAAGACACCACCGCCAACAAGAGAAGATGAAGCAAACAATCTCCAACCAGCACGCAAACACCTTGCCAGGCTGTCCCCACCATCCCTCCTCCCAAACTGGGAATAGAGATTGCAACCACAACCTACGCAAAATGTTCTGTCGTGCCGTGCAGATGCCCTGTAGTATAGGAACCTCGACACCAGGTTGAACCAATGGCTATATAGCATCATTTGCTGTTTATTCTAGTTTGAAGTACTTTTGAGGGCACATCAACAGGCTTTAGACATGCTTACTTCCCTCGCTTCTCCTTCACACATCTGCAACGTGGTCGGCGCTTCTTGGTGTGGTGGGCCTTGCCATCTGGCAGCCATGACCATAGCCGCTGTAAGGCAACTTGCAATAATATGATGACTTTCTGTGTCCCATTAGTAGTGTTGTGTCTATTGTGTTCGTGCTCAATCTAGTTTTGCCCCAGCAAATGTTGCTCTTCGATAGCAAGCAAAATGTATAAGTGTTAACGAACTATAAGTTACTGGCCGTCGTGAATTAAGGCTTAAAGAGCCGGTCACTCATTGTCGCCCGTCCCGATAAGCCGCTGCCAAAATCCTATCGCTAATCGGTTCAGATCTATTATGAACAGTCTTCTTATCTCCTTCACATCCGCTGTTCAACTTGATACCCTTGCAGGTGAGAGGAAACAGATTGAAGCCAGTACAATTCAAAACTTGTCATTGGCAAGACTCTTTCCAAAGGTGAACACTAGTGCATGCCTGACGGGCTCTAAATGCAAGTTCTGTCTCAGTAGAGAGTTCCCACGCACCGGGATGATTTCAGGCTTCTTCACATAACAGCTTCTGTAAAGTCCATCCATTCCGTTCGATATGCACTTCCGCGTTAGCGAGCTTTCTCCAAAGGTTTATGAGCCCTTCACAGCACTGCTGATATTTCTGCTAGACTCCTTGCATTCCAACTCGAGTAGAGACCGTAAGAGAGAGATATATGGCCATTAGTTCGGAAGGGCAGCACGAGTGGACAAGGATACCTTTCGGGCCAAAGGGGACAACTCCAGCACCCGATGCATTGATAAGGAGGACTCCCAGGTGGCTACGGTGAAATCGTGTGATTGTATAGCTAGGTAACATCGCTGTGTGTTTGTTTGTGTGTGTGCTTCGACTTGCTTTTGTGTTCTTCTAGAAGAGTGTGTGACTTTGTTTTCGTCTGTTCTTGAAGTCGGCATGCGGCTGCATCCAGCTAAATCCATAAGCTGCCAACAAGAAAATTGGTACAGTGAGTTTGTCACATCTGCAAAGGGAGCTAGGCCTAATCTGACGGTAAAATGGCGGCAATAAGCAAGAATATATCTGTGAAGCAGATCATATTTAAGAGAGTTTATGCTAAAATAGCACATGCAACCATTAAAGAGAAAGTCTGCGGGCTTTGATAGTGAGGATGGCCACGACTGTGGCCTGTTTCTTCCAGCTGCATCTGTTCTTTCATGGGCATATATTTGTGCCTCAGTGTCCAGGCTGCGCAACGCAGTTCCAGTGTCTCTCGCAAACCATACAGCCCTGGTCACTACTGCAGAGCACACTAGGCTTAAACGCCAGAAGAGTAAATCTTTTGCACGGAAATTGTCACTATTAATTAAGTCAACATAGGCGTTCTGAATTACGTGACCTTGAAGGCTATATCTGGTTTATACCGCAGTGCCGAACACTAAGTTTTGCAATTGACATACATGTGGTGTGGAATGACGATGTGAGCTCCCTCGAATCGTCAAGTAACGCCTGGCAAGAGCCGCTCGGAAACATTAAAAAGTCCGTTATGCTATTTCTAGTTAAGCGAGTTCACTTCTTTCTTGCGGAAAATTTTGCTCTCATTATCCGATAACAAGTCTATCTAGCAGTTGTACGCGCCTCTAACAACTGTAACCGTTTTGCTTTTTTCGCATCATGCGCGCATCGCCCAAGTGAAGCCGCCACGCCCCGCAACCCTTAGTTTTGCTTGGCACATGCCCAAGAGCCTGCGGTTTGCTCGAACCGCGGTTTTCGACTTCCTAGTTATATGCCTTTGCTCCCGAGCTGTAAATTATACCTTCCGAGGTAGGCCCTTAATCACATGACTACCGAGGTTCCGCGATCTCGTTGGGCGTGACCTTGAAAGTGGCTGGGCCACTTTCACAATGCCGGAATTGTGAAGAAAACTTTCCTCTCGACTTTCCTGAATCAGGCAGCCGCCTCGAGGCGAGACGACTTGAGAGCGCAAGAAAGGAAATCTTCGACAGCTAATACAGTGCGCAGGCACTACAATGGGGCTTGCTGGTGACATTTAGGGGATAGCTAGCTGGTGGCCTACAAGAGGTTAGCACCCTGTTACACACATAACTTGTTACTAGTGACGAAGTAAAACAATTTATAAGCAAGATAGCATGTGTAGACCAGGAGCGCCTGCGAATACCCTAAGGTTGGAGCTGGCGATGGCGCCGGCACCGGTGCGGGGCGTTGCCTAGAGTCG